GTGTCTTGCAGAGTATGTGTGAGGAAATTTCCGGGTCTCGAAGAGACCGGATGTGGCAGAACAGAGACTAATACAGACGTGATCTGGTGAGGCATAGACTGCGTCCGGCGGAGAGCGGGTGATGCTAAAATTTTCAAAAAATTAATATATGCTGGAAATTGTCCAAAAAATTTGAAAAATTTCACCTTAAAATTTTTCAAAAACATTCGTTTTGTGCGGTTTTCAATTTCCAGCATTTTTTGATTTCTCGAAAATGTTGAATATTTTTTCTAAACTCTCCCCAAGAGATGCCTGCGAAACTTGGTGAATGCCTCAGCGTTGCTTCGCCTTGCTTGCTTTGCCTCGCCTATCCTTGCCTTGCCTAGCTTGCCAGGCCTTAACTGGTCTTGCTGGCCTTGCCTGGCCTCGCCTTGAATGGCCTGGCCACGCCTGAATTCGCCTGGCTTCGACTGGCCTCACTTTGCCTTAAGGCACAGACAGCGTCCGGTAGAGAACGGGTGATGCAGAGTCTGTGTCTTGTAGATTCTATGTGAGGCAGTGTCCTGGTCTCGAAGAGACCGGATGTGGCAGGGCAGAGACTAGCAGAGACGTGTTCTGGTGAGGCAGAGACTGCGTCCGGCAGAGAGCGGGTGATGAAGAGACCGTGTCTTGCAGAGTATGTGTGAGGAAATTTCCGGGTCTCGAAGAGACCGGATGTGGCAGAACAGAGACTAATACAGACGTGATCTGGTGAGGCATAGACTGCGTCCGGCGGAGAGCGGGTGATGCTAAAATTTTCAAAAAATTAATATATGCTGGAAATTGTCCAAAAAATTTGAAAAATTTCACCTTAAAATTTTTCAAAAACATTCGTTTTGTGCGGTTTTCAATTTCCAGCATTTTTTGATTTCTCGAAAATGTTGAATATTTTTTCTAAACTCTCCCCAAGAGATGCCTGCGAAACTTGGTGAATGCCTCACCCTGTCTCTGCCTCCAACTCACCCGGTTGCTGCCTGCCTCGGTGTCTGCACCAACTGGCCTCTGCAGGACTCGGTCTCTGCCGGTCAGGTTCTCTGCCTTACGTGTTGTCTGCGGTACCTGGGCTTCTCAGAGACGTCACGCCAGAGCCATGTCATACAGGGACCGGTCCGTGCAAAGCCCGAGTCAGGCAGAGACCCCATTCGTCAGAGACAGTCCGAGAGAGAACGGTTCTGCAAGGCATCAGGTGGGTGGAATTTTGAAAAATTTCAAAATTGTCAAAAAATCAAAAAATGCTGGAAATTGTCCGAAAAACGAGACCCGGACTCTGCCTGACACAGACTCTGCAAGACACGGTCACTTTATCACCGTCTCTTCCGGTCTAGGACTTTGCAGACGACACGTCAGGGACGGTAATACACAGACCGGATCGTGCAGCGACCGAGTCCAGTAGAGATCGCGTCCTTCAGAAGAAGTGTGCGGCAGACACCGGTTATAGCAGATAACGGGTGGGGAGAATTCTGAAATGAAAATTTCAAATTTTCCAAAATTTTATAAAAACCAAAAAATGCCGGAAATTGTCCAAATGGCACACAAACGTTTTGAGAACTTTCAACTTAAAAAAAATTGGTTTTGTGCGCTTTTTAGGCAATTTCCAGCATTTTTGGAGTTTTCGAAAATTTCGATTTTTTTCCCCCAAATTATACCTACACCATCCCTATCAGAACTGGTCTCTGCCAAGACTGTCTGTGCCTCTCAGTCTCATCCGGACTTGGTCTGTCTCTCACCCAGTCTCTGCTTGACACGGTGTTTGCCTCTGTCTCAGCTTGACTCGTTCCCTGCCTCACCCGGAGTCTGCATGACTCGGTCTGTTGAACCAGGTCTTTGCAGAGACGACACCGCAGAGGTTGAATGAATCTCGCAGAGACCGTGTCAGTCAGAGACACGGTACGGCAGACTCCGTGTCCTGAAGAGTCAGGTTCTGGCAGGGATCGGGTGGGGAGAATTATGAAAAAAAAATTAAAATTTTCGAAAAATCAAAAAATGTTTACAATTGTTTGAAAATCGCACAATACCAAATATTTTCGAAATATTTGAAAAATTTTTGAAGTTGTAATCTTTCTATTTTTTTTTTTTAGTTTTGTGCGCTTTCAGGATAATTTCCAGCATTTTTACATTTTTTTAATTTTTGGAAAACGTTTTTAAAATTCTCCCAACCCGATCCCTGCCATAACCAGTCTGCTGTACCCGTCTGGGATGGACCAGGTCTGTGCTGGACTCAGTTTGCTCGTTCCACTCCCTGTATGACTGGCCATTTCTGCAAACTCCATGCTGACAGATACCCGGTGAGGCAGAGACGGGGTGAGTCAGAGAATGCGTCCGGCAGGGACAGGCTGAGGCAGAGAATGAGTCAGACAGGGGCCAGTTCCATGTGAGATGAAAACTTCGTGTCACACCCAGATGGTCTCTGCAGCACACCAGTGTGCTAAGAAACACCGGTTGCACATCACTGAACTAGACAAATAAAACCAAGAAAAATTATATATATAGTTTTTTCATTTTATTTCTCTGGAATAAAAATCAGAGAGCTTCAGACAGCATTTTTGGAGCATGTCATTGTTTCCAGTTCTTTTTGAAATATATATACTTATTCAATAAAGATTAAAAATAAATGTATGCTCAATATCTCTCATCTTGTCTGTACTCCACCAGTGCCATAGTGGTGTAACCATAAGCAAGCAACCTGCTGCAGTATGGCACTTATTTATTTTTCATGACACCCCATTCAGCAAGTCTACGAATAAGATTAATTCTAACAGAACTGGTTAATAACACAGTCACAATGTGCAGTATTTTATACTTCAAACTGAATCACCAAACAATCTAAATATGCTTCTGAATTACCACCCAGATATTATCAACACAGATCACATTATTTGCAACCGAAAACATCTGTGTCAATCTTTCTGCTTATACAACGCACACACTTCGGTTTAACCTGTATCTTTTCCCAATCAAATATGATGAAACCCTTCCAATAGCCAAACTTCTTTCCATGCATATTCATATTACTTACTGTACAAAGTTAAGCCTGTAAATCAGCTGTGTGTTGCCATGCGCTGTTTATCAGTCATTCACAACAGAATATAAAATATACTTCCACAATTTTTGAAGAGTATCCAGTGCCACATTACATGTCAGAAAACGTGTTTCCCTAAATACAAACTCTGAATAAGAGATATTTTATGTTGTCTTTTTTTTTCCTGTGTAAATATGGAACATCAGTAATAATTCACATTAAACACAATGAGCCCCTATTTGCTGCTTTCCCAGAAAGAAAAAAGACATGAATGCTTTTAAGCGATATTAATCTCGAGCAATATACGAAGGAAAGAGTTAAACAGCGACGTCACCAACCGTTATGAATATCACTATTTCCATCTCACTGCGCTATGCTGTATTTACAAGATATCAAAATCAAATTCTATCTCAAAGTAAAAAGTTTATATTAATTATACGCCAGTTCAGCCGTGACAAAAACAGCTGAAAACTGTTTGTATTATTCCCATGACAACATATGCACAATGCCGTTCCAATTAAAATATGGATCACAAGATGCATTTCTGCATGCAGAAACTACAAAGTCCCTAATTCTGGTTTATGATAAGACTTAATACATAACCCAGCTGTTCAGATACAGCAACCACATACAGTTAAGTTGGTATCTGCACTGTCAGGATAAATTTGTTATTTTCATACAAACTTCATTACTGAAAGATAGCTGTTTTATGTGGCAGCAAAGCCTGGTGGAAGGTAAACTTCTACCAGATTACACAGCACTACACCCCAGAAGACAGCCATTTTCATACTCGCCAATGTGAGAATCTCAAATCCTACTCGATTACTGGAAAACTCCAAACAACACGCACAACTTTCACTTTTAATAATCGATATGGATGATGATTATAAACAAATAAAAAGTAACTGAAAGTAGTGATATAACCCTGCGGAAAAAATTTTCTTCGGTAAATTACGTGATAATTTTACCAGCACACAACATTTACATTGAAAGTATTTTAATTCTTTACTGAAATGTATTCAGTGAATTGAAGAAATCTGAAATACTATTAAAAAGTATCACTCACAAATAACAATAAAATTTGATGAACAATCAATATTGCAGTGATAAAGCTCCACTTTTGACTTCCCTTGTAACCTGCTTCACAGGGTCTCAGTTGTACATGTTTCTATGCAAGAGCAAATGCAAACAAGAAAACAGTTTTGCATGCATTTACCACTACAAACTTTGATCTGATAAAATGTAAAACACACTGGTACTGTAATAACATAAAACTTTTAAGAAAGGCAAGTAAGTCTGCTCTTGTTGTCTAGTTGCAGCCTTCCAAGTTGTTCTGAATTACAAGGGCCAATAAATTAACTTATCTTTAACATTTCCTATTATTCATACACACATACGTACACTTATCAATTCATTTATCCGTTGATCAGTTCACCCTCTCATTAGCCCATTGCAACTTGACCCTATCTAATGAGACCAGATGAACAGAAGAAATGCAGGAAATACACCACAGAAAATTTTCCAGTGGCTGTTTTAGTTTTGAAAATAATATTTTCACTCTAATTTAACAATATGCAAAAGTGGCTCTAGCTTTTGTTTAATTATGGACCTGGGAAAATAAATTTTAGTTTAACAAAATGGCTGGAGTTCCATGGGTCTGGATGAATGGCAATAGATCTCTACTCTTGTTTTGCTGAAATACAATAGAAAGCCACGCGAGTCTGCTATGCATGTGTGGTGAAACATATTCACCCCAGAAGAACGAGTCAAGCTCGCCGAGCCAGACTCGCAAGTCAGACTCGTACGTGGATGGGCCGCTTAAGCTTCAGTAACCTTGCAAACTGAAAAGAAAATACTGCACATAATTAATTAACTAAGTGACTGGAGTTACTATATTTATGCCCAAAACCACAGGTAGATATAATCTCACCAGTCCCTCTTCAAATATCATTGTACTCTTCAATTAAAGATCACAGACATACTTTTATTTCTTAAACAAGTTCAAGGCTCTTACATTACCATCATACAAAGTGTTGAAGGCATGACTTGTGAATGTTTAATTCAGAACTAATATCGTTCACTGATACACCACAATAAAACCATGTGTGTTACCCAATTACAGTTTACAGAGTATCAAAAGAGAAGTTCTGATGCAGCAGTTACCTACCAAGTTGCAATGGCTGAATGTAGTTATATAATGATATCCCCTGCACATTACAAGATAACGCTCAGATTGGGAGAAAAGCACAAGATTTACGTAGTACAGCAGATGCATTAGCAAATGAGTGTCCCAAAGTGTACACTTCAGTAAGTTCAGCTACAATATTATGGATATCCCACTTTTATTCAAACATATTCATATTTTAAAAGCATTATTTAAAAATAAATAATGATACTATATTTCTAAATTTACTATGATAAATGACAAGTATTTGTTTAGTTTATTGTTTCCCCCACTAACACATCTTCCCTCTGAACCATCTGCTTCTTACAAATATTTTTCAAACAAGCACCACAGTTCCATTGCTGTGAACTTACTGCTGGAAAAGCTGCAGATATTTGTGCTGAGCAAGCGAGCAAGCAGATGCTGCCAAACTTTTAACACGCTAACTTATTAACATTCAGTTACGGAGACATCACGTCATACAATTGGTATAATGCTGTGTACAAGTATATAGCCATCGCCATATTACATAGCTACAGACTGTGCTGGGACTGAGAGTAAGTGAGTGAATATCAAGGACAAGAAATACAGAAATTAATTTAAAAATTCAATTTACAACTGCACACTCACTTTTGAATCTCTTTCATACACTGACACTACGACAGACCAACACAAACTGGTCATAGTAAGAATATACAGTTTCTTATGGCAGAAAGTACAATCATTTGCTAACAGCCATAATTTGAGTTCTTCCGGTGATTGTTACGATAAGCTTTGAGGTATTGGCGTACAGAATATCCGTGTGTGACATTCAGATCTGTGACAATATCTGAAGTGAAAATGAAGAGTGATTATACAATCAGATATGAAACACAATGTTTGATCCCATTCAGAATTGCCACTTGTAACATGCTATAATAATGATGACCAACCGTTAGGACCATTACTCGTGAAGCAAACAATGGAAATATGTGGCACAACGAGGGAATGCTTCAAAAGCTTTATACAGACTGGTCTAAAAACTTTAACACTGCATTGTGACATGTGCAGTTTTAGTTCAGACTCGAGTCTCAGACAGCATCAGTTTCTTGTCACGCATCATTAGCACTGGACCAGATGCCGACATGAAATTCAAACAGCTTTTATTTTTAACTCTGTTTGCCATTTCTTGATTGCCCTTATTGGTCCAATAAGCTCAATTCATAAAAACAACATTAAAAACAGTACGAATCTCTTCCCCCAACACTTAGAAGATTCGGTCTCCATATGACACCCCTTCTCTTAATGGCAACAAACAGCTTGGTGTCGGCCAAGTCCATCTTTATACAACATTAATACGTCCTTCATACAGAACTGTGCAATTCAGTGGGATAAACACAGATTATAAATAGAAATATCACTGCTTCAATAAGCAACACCGTGAACAATAAAAGAAAAAGTAAATTAACTTCGGCAACATTTAATGTAGGAAGATATGGCACCCGCACCCGCACACCAACATCAATATTATACAGCTAATGATTTGGTACTTACATGCATGAACACGCATACACATATAACACAGTATGCAAAACTCGGTTCTTCAAAATGACTTCACCGTCTACTGGGGAGACAACGTGAATTCCAAAGATTCCGTTTCCAGTATCTATTCATTAATGCGTAAATTCACATTCTTGGCCAAATATGAAGACTTTAAAGATGTCCTTAAAATCAGAGTGTTTCATCACATGCTTTCCGATGTGGTTTTATTTCTTGAAATTGTTTCATACTTCTAATTATATAAACACTAGTCCTACCACAGCAAATAAATATAAAATATATAATTTATTTTAAAAAATGCTGAAGAATATTTTACGGTAACACTTTCACACATACATTGATGACTTATAATTTCAGCGACTGAAATTATTAGAACCTGAAGCTATTTTTCAAATATTTTTCAGAAGCTGTACATTTTGTATTACATATATAATCGTAATATATTCACTGCAAACTACATAGGTCTTGTCTGATGTATCTTTTTTCATTATTTCGTGCATCAGATGCTAAGAAACCAATCAATAAGATTCTTTTCTATTGTCACTCATGTTCTCTAGGACTGACTCGCATCTTGAACATTGAATCCAGTTTCCAGTATTACAACTTGCTGCCTTGTTCGCACTTTGCCTGAGTCTTTTCCCTTAGACTGGAATAAATTACCCCCTCACTCACATACACTACACAGTCAATATCTTTTGATATTTTTAAAAATAACAATGAATTTGTCATCAGTACAACACCCTTTCAGTTAAAAAATCTTTATTCACTGTCAATGTTCAGAAATAATCATGAAAATGGAAATCTGGTGTCTTTCTTTTGAAATAAAAGAAGGTACAGTACATGTCAGTAAACAAGGTGAATACCTCTTCATCAGCATCTACAGTAAGTGTATTAAATAAAATGAGGGAGCATTATGCCAGTTTCATATTATTTGTCCTGAATTTCACCTCTCTGTTCAACTCATCACCTATTTCCTGCTACCGTCAAGCTGCCATGTACTGCAGATCTACTGAAATTAATCCACTTTCTGCATTTTCAAAACTGGAGATGGATAAGAATGCAAACTGTCACATAGAATTTCATGTTAAAACGTGCTTCCTCTTTCTCATTACGCTCAAGTTTCAGTGAATATATACTATGTGCCAAAAACACATAGGGCATACAAACAGTGTGCTCAGGGACTACTCAAGATATGAACAGACCATGATCTGGTGGGGAACACTTGCTTCATGCCACAGTGCTGCGCAGTGGCTTCTAGTCCCAATGCAGTGAAGCCACTCGCCGACTGTCCAAGGTGGGTGACAAGAGTGACCGGAGAGTGCTGCTACTGTTGCTAAAGTATTTCAATGTGAGTGGTGACTGCAGGTGACGGTGGTGGATCACCTCTCGCTCTGCAGGTAGTGGCCACAGCTCCTGTGACACAGAGTATGATGAACATATCAGTTCCATAGCCACTAATTATTATTGTTGTTGTTGTAAATCATTTGTTTGATTGGTCCACAAACAGCCAAAAACTTCAGGCTTTTAGCCATCATAACTTGACTACTTGCAGACCAGGTGAAGAAACTGCAGCAACGGCTCAAACCACGAGATGGGCAGCTACAGTGAGTTGGGATCATACACACGCACAGTAGTCAGAGCGACCCAAGAAGCACGGCCTTTGCGTGAGGCTGAGTAATGCTTCAGCATTATGCTGGCATGCCGGAATAAGCCTAATGTTAGACGGCGGTGATGGCTCGACTCCTCCGAGATCTCCGATTATGAGGACTGCTGATTTGACGGTGAATCCGGGATACGGCTGTCTTCTCAAACGCTTTTCTGTCTCCTTCACAGCTATTATTATTTCAGCCACAGCCGAAAACTCAATGACATACATATTGCATTCAGAGATATCAATGAGAACGATATCAGGCTTGGTAGCTGTTAAGTGTCTGGTAGTGGGGACTAAATAGTTGCAATAAATTTTACATTTATCTTTCTCAACAATGGACTCAATGTCCCCACAGGCGTATGGAAAAACAGGGGTCTTATCAATGCCATAAAAGTGCCTCAGGTGGTAACAGAAAACATGTAAAGCAGTGTTATGCCAATGAATGTAGGCGTGTATTATTATAATACAAGATTTAAAATAACACCAACACTTCTTTCACTTAAAATTGGTTGCTGATATGTAACCATTATGACACATGTTACTTCTGTTAACAAACTAATTTACCTAAAAAGTTAGATAAACTGATTAATATTTAATTGTTTAATTCAAAAGAAAATAATACCAACAATAATAATCTTTGGTGCTAAAAAGACAGGCTTAAGTCAAACATTACCACATAAACCTCCATGTTTTACTGAATGCCATGTCTGATCGTGTGCCAGTGTACTTTGTATGTGTGTGTCCCTTATCTACAGTCACCAGATAAGTTGTTACCTGCAGAGAGAGAGCCTCATCTCAGGATTCACTTGACCCCTTGAACTGTCTGTTGCTGCCACGTCCAGTAAGGGACCCAACAAGTGATTTCAGAGTTGCTCCTAATCCCTTGGTTCCACCACCAGGTGTTTGGACATTACTTCCATTACGACCCAATCCCTGTGGATGTGCGTCCAAGCACTTCTGGTACCGTAACTGTAAGAAAACAGCAGAACAGAGTTACAGAAATTTACCTTGTATATTACTGCACAATACTGAAGGCATGAGAAATCTTCGTATCAGAGGTTACAGTCATGTCATAGCTTACCACATTTATTACCATGCCCCTGAATGCATGTATATATGTGAAATGGTCA